TGTTATATATTCGATGAAATACACTTACAGCATTAATATAAGCTATTGCAATATTTTCCTCAAAATACTATTATTTGGCATTTTAGTAAATAAATAATTTCAATAATTTTTGTGCCAATAACAATTCAAATAACGATCGTTAAATGTACCACATATCCGCAATAGCATTTTAAGTTTTTACAATACTTACACAAAATAAGCAAAGTATTGAAAATATTTCATAAATGTTAAAAAATAATTAAATTTTATTGGCTGTTTTTTTCCCAACATTTTCTCTCATCATCAAATATTCATTAAGTATGCGGTATTAGTGAAATTTGCAAAAGAATCTCTTAAATAATCTCAGTTGAAATTTTCATTTAAAATTGAAAGAGTCATACTTTCTATTACGCTTATATGTTTAAACAATATTTTTTGCTACGCTTATGTGTAAAATATAAATCATATTGTTGAAATTGTGAATCATTTGGCTTTATAAAACAATTCATTATTAATAACATATTTATAAAACTATTCATTATTGATAATGATCGATGCAACCATTAATTTTTCATAATTGCTCTTGGAAAATGATGAAAGTAAGATAATGAATATTTTTTTTAAGTGTTAGTAGTATTTAACGTGGAATTGAAAGTTTAGTCATTTCAATATTTTATCTTCTGTTAAAATTATGATGTTATTTTTAAAATTATGAGAAATTATGATGTTATTTAATAACATCATAATTTCTGTTGTAAAAAATACAGCAACATTCCAATATACAGATCCGATAAGTGCCACTAAATGATTGTCACCTAATGATAATTATTTCACTTCGTCAATCACTGTTATGTGCGAAAATCAACTGAAAATTGGCCTGTTACAATAATTATTTTCTCTTTCATAATTAGTTTCAATACTAACTTTGATATCGTTGAATAAATTTTCAATCAATACATTGAATAGCCGATGTCATAATGCTAATTCATGTTTTTTCAATAAGCTTCTTTGTTTCTTCTTTCTTACTTTTCAATCATTAAAATTTATTACTGTAAATCTGGCAATCAAATTTTTCAGATTAAAAAACTAATTAAATAATTTTCCTCCGATGTTGTACAACTCATTACTTTCAACATCGAAGAATCATCTTGCCTTAATCTTGCTTGGTCATACAAATAAAAAGGAAGCATTTCTGGCAACTAAAAGACTAAATTTCAAAGTAAAAATTAAACAGTAATCAGATAGAAAAATTATGGCAGCAATTAGCTGTTCAATGCTGACAATGTTGCGATATGTAATTTATTAACGAAGCAATTCAAAACTTAGTCAAGACGGGTTAATTAAAAATAGATTGAGTGGGCAGTATTAAGCATTTGGCAATCAATCTAAATTGAGTATAGCTAGATTCTTCTGTTGGTTTTATCTTCCTTTTTGATATGATATAAAACTTCTAAGATTTTCTAAAGTTATTTTCAAGTGAATTCATACAATATAGGAATAAACGATCCCAGCCTGATCTTTGCTTTTTATTTCTGAGTTTTGAAAAATATTTCATTTAATATTTTGTGCAGAAAAACAAGCCTTGGTAATGGGCTAAATCTTTTTGCCTCAGAAAACTTTGAAATCGAAAAAAAGAGTAGAAATTATCAGGTTAAACCAACAAGAAATACTAATAACTCAATAATTAAGCCTTGAATACAATAATATAGACTTAGAGCCAGTCTGATTTTATTTGACCTTAATAGCCATAAACAATAACAAGTGATCCTGAAATCTCAGCACTTTTGCACAATTTTTTAATCAAATGATAGATTTATGTAAACTTAATAATTAATTTACAATGAGAAATGAGAACAGAAATTTTGAGAAATTTTCAATTAACGAATTTTTATTTTGGACAAAAAATGAAATTTAAGAAAAAGATTAAAATACAAGACGAAGATTTTGTGAAAATTCATATCCTTCTGAAGTCTTTCCTGAAGTCACTCTCTTCTATCTTATTGCAAATCGAAGTGATCTGGCTAAATCATAGATTATGAGTACATAGAGTTCTTCTGATACTTCAATCTCTTTTGATATCTTGAATTTTGTCATGTTTGCTCTTCTCTTCTACTTCGACAATTTCCACTTCTGATTGTGTTTCTGTTAACTGCTCACCAGTAATAGTTTTTACAATTACAGGTGTCATGCAATGTACATTGACGTGCAACTGAGGATCAATATATAAACTGGTTGCAAGTTTGACGTTCTTGCAGTTACTAGACCAAATCGACAGCAGTTGCTTCGATGCAAACATAAAATGGCCCTTCTCGTACGGCGTATGCGTACGTATAATTAACTTCATTTGTAATTGCTTTATAAATTCCTCGACTGCTTTCGCACCAAAAAGATGTCCTCGACCACCTATAAAAAAATTAGCGACTATAATATAAAAGAAAATTTGAAATTTCATTTCGAATTAGACTAGTCCACTTTTTTATCGAAAGATTATATCATAATTAAATAGATGTTTTAGAGTAGAAATTTTTAAAATTACAATAGCATTGTTAGAAAGGAATCATTATCATTAATCTTTTATCACTCTCTATCAGAACCGGTTAACAACAAATAATGCTGAACTAACCCACCACGTTGTATACTTGAATCATTCTACTAATTGGTAACGAAAATGAACAAAATACCTCAATAAGCATGAATTGTTATATTTTAGTATTACATGAAAACTTATCAGTTTATTTTCAATAACATCATTAGAGAAAAGAGTGACAATTTCAGTGACTTTAATTTATGAAAAGAGCGATAATTTCAGTAACTTTAATTAATGAAAAGAGTGATAATTTCAGTGACTTTAATTTATGTGTATCACTGATTCAGTGTGCCTAATTATTCCAACTTTATTCAATATCAGGTTTGCTGACCTTTGATTTTTTGAAATCTTTCGATAGTATTAGTTGGCATTCCAAATGTTAAATCATATAGAATTTTAGAGCTCGATTTCAACGGTGGCCTTCCAATTTTCTTTATTGTTTCAAGATTTTTTATCTGAAAATTTTGTGTTCGGATTGCGAATTGCATCATTTATCATTTAGTCAATTGATGTTCTCATGAGTGAATCTCCAATTTTTTATATTCTTCAATATTGCTGTTTATTATAAATATATTTATCGCTTTGAAAATTTATTCAAAATCATTTAAAAAAATAATAACATCCATTCACTAACTTGCGAACTGATACCGGAGTGTACGGCAAAAATTGTATTACCAATCGTTGCAGCAATAGGCATTTCAGAACAGATTCGTGTGATAAAAGCTGATAACACTATGCTTAGTTTCATAGGAAAACGCTTTCGAATTTCAAAAGGAAAAAATTCTGTCGCTCCACGTATTATGTAAATATGATTTGGTGTTGTTACCTACAAATTTTCAAATCGGGAACTAGAATTATCCGAAACTCATGCAAAATTGTCTTCAGATTAATCGATAGTAATCTACCATGTACTTAGATAAATATTAATTACTCATAATAATTGATATTAATTGCTCGTCTATACTCTAATATATAAGATTAATTAAAATATTAGTTGAAGAAAAAAAATTCCAAATTCTTGTATATTAGAAGTTTCATTCAAAATTTTCCGATATCAGCAAATTTTTGTATAAAAAATTCAAAACATACTTTATATGCTGCAAGGAAAGCAAGTGTTTCAATGGATTCAGCACATTTCTGATCAATAATACCGCCAAGAAAAAGATATCGTCGTTTTGGTGGATAACCATATAATTGGAACCAACGTAAGAGGTCAGAGTATCTATATTAAATTTAAAAATTGCTTAATTCGAATGGCATTCAATTTTAAAATTCGATTTATGTTTGATATTGTAATTTGACGTTGTTTGCTTTATGAGATGAAATGGAGTAGAAAAAAACTGACCGACCACGGAGTTCACCGATTACGACAACATCAGCTGGTATTTGTAGAAGTGAACTTTCTGTACGTAAAATTTCACTTAACTGTAAAAAATGTTTCATAGTAATTTCACACCCTATAAAAAAATTCAAGAAATTTGAAATTATTTTTTTTAATCACAAAGAGTAATTCATAAATGGATTAATTGCTAATTAAACTTGATATATATCAATTTTGTGATGCTATTTTTTCTTTGAAAATTTTGCCATGAAAATCTTGTAAGTAAAATTTTCAGTGAAAAATTTTACCTCCGATAAGAGTTCATATAACTCTGTTCCGTCAATATCAAAGAATCCTGGTCCTTGTTCAATCATACGAATTAGAAGACTTTCAAATTTAGTTGGCTCAACACGTGTAATCTAAATCAACAAAAAGTTTTCCAATTAAAGTTTTCAATTATGACAAAAAATCTACTCCTGTCCAGTGTTTCTTTCAAGCGCGCTGAATCACATTGAATCACGCAGTTGCACGGTTTTGTAATTATTCTTATTCCTTCGTTACTAATTTCATTTTTTGACTTTCTTCACAATATACTTATTCCTTTGAAGTTTCTTTCCTAGATATTGCCATTAGCATATTTGAAAAGGTAGCAAATTTACATTGAGTAATCAATTCAAGAAATATTCTCAAAACTTTTACTAAAAAGAATTTTTACCACAGCATTATCAAAGCCCAATGATTCGTGAATTTCATAGCTCACGTAAGTGATTTCTTCTACAGGTGTTTTAACTTTCGGTCCTTCCTCGTTATCTCTGTATTCTGCCAATGCTATCATAACTTCCGCAAATTCATCTATATTTAAACATCCGTCGAGCGGTTCACCAGATTTCTAAAATTTCTCATATGCATTTTAGGAAACTAGCAATATCAAAAACGTATTCCGCTGTTAATTAAATATCCTTTTCATTCCTAATTAATATGAAAGCAACATTATGCTTTCTTTTGTTCTCAAAGTTTTTCCCATTAAATGTCATATTTATCACAAAATTTGGTTTTCAAGAACATGAACAATTTCTCTTTCAAATTTACTTTTACATGAAAGTTTTGGAAATTATAAGCAGTTTAACACTACTGGCGGTGAATCATTGAATATTAATCCTTCTTTCTGTGGCAGCTCCAAATCAAATTTTGGATTGTATTCAATTTTTTTATATGTTGCAATCATCCTTTTATAAATCAATGTTGATACTATAGGATAAATAACAGAAATTAATAGAATAATTGGCGTTAGTAAACCAGCCAGGATTTCCATACCTTGCAAAAACCTGAATTTTTTTTTCTGAAATAAAATATTTGGAAAATTTTGGTTTGAGTTAAATTTGATCGAAATGTAATTTCATATATTAGCCATTGGCTAAAAGGTTCAATTTTTCCTAAAACAATCCCATTTAATCCCATTTTGAAACCACACTGATGACTAGACCCTAATTAGATATAACTATACATTTTCAAAAATTTTAGGTTTTTTTTTATATAATATGAGATTAAATGATAAAAGTAATAATTAGTGAACAAATGATAAAAGTAATAATTAGTGAACAAATGATAAAAATAATAATTAGTGAACAAATGATAACAATCACTGAAATATTTGGGGAAATTATTGAAATTCATCCATCTGTTCGTATTTGTTTAAAGGAAAAATTTTAATTCCAAATACTCTCCATTACAAAGTCAACGAAACAAGACAAATTGCAGAATTTTTAATGTTAATTGCTAAATAATAGAATTTGTTAAACAAGAAAAGAAGAAAGTTTATTTGTTTCAAATTAAACTATCTTCTTCACTCATTCACGAAAATAAACTAACAGTGATAGCGAAAAGTGGCATTTCCTCCCAATTACAACGATCATGTAAGCAACATTTGATATCATGGGTTAAATTACGTAATAAGCACCATTCTTGATTTAAAGATAATCGCGAACAATGCTGCTTACACCAATTTGTCGTGTCACAACGAAAACTGAATCGTACTTTGTGTGACCAAAAAAAAAGAAGCTGTATATTTTATTTCCGAGCAAAATTTAATTCAAAATTTTGATGTATTCAAGTAATTCAACAAAGTCAAGTCAAAATAAGTCAAAATTTAATTTCAAAATTTAAAATTTATTCGGTTTCTTTCATTTTTTTTTAATGGTTAAAATTTAAGAAATCGTCGATAATTTTATGTAAAATGTTGCAAAAAAGTTTTGCCGACAAAATAAGTGGGAGAAAGGTTTTATTTTAATAATTTAAAGTTCGAAATTAAAATTAAACGAAACTGAAATTATATTATTGATGAAATTATATTACTTGCATTCATAAGTTATCGGAAATAGTGCATTAATCCAAATAATAAAGTTAAAAAAGTAAAAAGAATAAAGTTTCATGCTTCTTTTTTTCAATTTCAATTTAATAATTTATTTGATTAATCGATGAAATGACTAACTTTGTGCTTCGTAAAGTGATACATAATGCTTTTTCGGGACATAATAATTGGAAATGTTTATTGCCGCATTGTTTTAATGACGAAACAATAGGTAAAATAGCGATATTAAATGAAAAAACGATGAAACAACCGAAACTTAGAAGCATTCTTCTGTGCACTGATCGTTTCAACCAATTTCAATTTCATATCAGTTCACTTCACTATGCAACTTCTCGAGGAAAATGCAAAAGCGACCCGTCACATTAATAATTTATTCAAAATCGATTTTAAATCAGGCTTTTTACTTTTTTTATCGGAATGATAGAAATCCGATCTTATACATTTAGTGTACCATTTAGAAAGGACGTATAATAATAGCATAATTAACCAACAACAGTCGCTCTAGTGAAAGAAACTTTCTTTATTTAGATTGAGATAATAAATAATGAAATTTAAAAAAAAAATAATCTTTAGATTTGATTTTAATTAGCATTAATCAAAATAAAACTATTCGTTTAATTAATTAACACATTTGCCAATGAATAAACATTAATTCAATAATATGAAGAGAAATTGGTAAAAGCACAAATACAATAAATAATTTAATATTTTAATGATGATTTTTATCAGAAAATGTGACTGGCATTTGTCGGTTGTTTTTGCTTTTAAAATTCTTTTGCCTTATGCTTCGAATAATACGAAACAATTTCAATTTTCTAACATTTTCCATTACTTCAGTTCTTAAATTTCATATAGATATATTTGTTTATACAACAGAATAGCAATGACAATAGATGGTGATGATGATGGTGATGATGATGATGTATCATCACTCTTTAAACATATCAAATTTCATAAACTCTCGCAATTGCAACTGTAGTAAAATCCATGAACAGAATTTGTTGCAGGATTTGTGGTCACGCCTGGAATGCTGTTACGAATTAGTATTGGTTGGATTTTCTTTAATATATTTCAAATCAAATTTTGATACAATTTAAGAAATGCTTGAAATACTTTAAAAGTTTTTAAATTCGAAACTTTCACTTCTTAGTTTTGAGCTTTAAAATTTAGTCTTGCTATGTCTTGCTACGGGTATTGTAAACGGATGGGCAGCAGAAGCAAACAGGAAATTAGAAGAAGCATTAATGAAATCTTACAATCGGAAGCATCGTCCAGTAAAAAAAGATTCGACAACGATGCAAATTCAAATTTACCTTTTGATTGGACATATTGAAAAAGTGGTACTATTTTTTTGAAAGCTTTTAAAATATACGTTTATTTATTTGCATATGCTTATTGCTTACTGATCAATCAAAAATTAAATTTGATTGATTGATTGTTCTACAACTAAAGTTGACACTGTTCTACTGTTACTTCTACAAATAAAGGTGATCGATTTCTTTCAATTGAACCTTCTTATTACTTTCGTTTTTTAATTCTCAAATATTGATATTGATTTAAAAAAAGCAGGATGAGCATGAACAAACAATGTTACTTCATGGATTATTATGGACATCATGGACTGATGAATACTTAAAATGGGATCCTAGCAAGTATAACAATACGAGACGAATTGCAATTGAGAGTTGGAAAATTTGGCAACCTGCTCTTTCGCTTTACAATAGGTTTTTAAACTTTTAAACTGGTTTCTTAATCCGAAAAAAATCATATTTAAATTAATTACTAATGAATCAATCATCTTTCATATCGCCCATACTTTATTGCAACTATATGCCGAATTATTTATGTCACTTTCTATTTGTTGCAATTTTAATTGATAATTTTAAGTTTTCCCGATAACTTCAGCTGCTTCACAATGATCTATGTTTTTCATTTCATTAGTAATTTTAACTTTTTTAAGCAACTCAAATTTTTTTGATCATAGCTATGATCATAGCAGATTAAATAATAGATTATTTGTTATTAACTGTTTTAAGCTTCATTTACAAAATGTTTTTGAATTTTTGGATTCAAATTGCCATAGCTTCTTAAAATTTTGATCAATAGAAATGATATATTAAACTTTTACTTAGCCAAAAGTATTAAATATCATTTATCATTTATTCTTTAAAAGTATTTATTCATGAATTTTCATTACATGTTAGTGCACGGGGAAACAGTTGGTATTTACATATGGGTGGCTTACCAGCATCTGTAAATAATGATGGTAAAGTTTGGGCATCTGGATCCTTCAGCTTTCATGTAACATGCTTATTTGATTTTACTAATTATCCATATGATGAACAGGTAATTCTATTCCTTTAATTTTTGTCTAATTTAATTGATTAATACTAATCTACTCTAAGATATTTTCGAGCATTTTCGAAATTTAAAATACACTTTTGCTTTTGCATATTATATTGCGTCTTCTCACAATTTTATAAGTTTCTCTTGTTTGACTGCATATTTTAAGTCTTCCATAGTGATGTTGGTTGTATTTATGACACTTTGAAAACTGAAGTTCACCAATTTTTTTTCTCTCTAATTATTAAATCCATCAATTTCAATTATCAATCACTATACTATCAGCTGTTTTTGGTCCGACTCATCAGAGCTTTATTTTCGATTCTAGGAGTGTCCTATTGTGATCGCTGATTGGGTATATGATCTTTCTAAGGTCAATTTATCAGATCCATCTGGAAATGGGAGTTTGAACAAACCGGCAATCAAACTTAGTTATGATCCGCTTGATAATACAAAAGTAAAACGTCAAGTTGCAGGTACACATAAAAGAAAAGAAATATTTTCCAGTAGTAAGGATTGAAAATATCTTCAAATTCTATAGTTTGAATGGTCTAAAACTTCATCAACACTTTTACTTTTCATTTAATTTGTAGAAAGCATGTTTTCTAATCGAATTATAAGATTAGAATTGGAATATTTGCTTCATTTTTGTTGCACAGGTTGCTGGGAAGTGAAAGATACGTGGCGTCGTCAGTGTTATTGGGGACCAACAGGTTGTAAGGATGAGCCACCAGATAGCCAGGTTGAAATATTATTAAAATAATTGCAACTTAAATTTTAATAAAAAAATGATGCTTCATAGTAATCGGAGCTGCTTTAGTTATAAATGATTGTGTAAGCATCGAAATACAAAAAAATATCCTGGAAGCTGGAATATGTCCAACGGATATTGTAACATTCATATCTGCTGAATCATAAATCATTTCATTCCGAAAGCATATAAATCAATTTATCGGTAAGGAAGTGGACCCACTACAGAAAGATTTGTTAAATTTAATGACTGGAATGTGATTTAGGATAATTAAGTAGAATAAGAACTGCCAAAATAACGTATAAAGTTTTCATTAAAATTTGAAATCAGGCTGAATATTACAGCCAGAATGGTTCTGGTCACTTGTCGAATTCGGTGTTCGAATTAAACGCAACGTACCATATTTTGGTCTAACAGTTATCTTACCTACAGTAAGTCAATAATTTATATCAAAAATTCAGAAATTTTTAAAAATAAAAAAAAAAAGGTTGTTGGGAAGTGAAAGATACGTGGCGTCGTCAGTGTTATTGGGGACCAACAGGTTGTAAGGATGAGCCACCAGATAGCCAGGTTGAAATATATATATATATATATATATTAGAAATGTTATGATATTTCTGAACATGCATAAAATAACATAATGAATTGACGAAGGAAAATGACGGAAACGGTGTGTGGACAGGAAGATAGGAAGATATTATAATATTTCACCATGTTTGTAGAAATATTCTAGATTTCTGGCTTTTACTTTAGTTTCATAGAATTTCTTGGGCATAAATTAGTAACCTAAGAAAACGAAGAATTATTATAATCAATTTTGAAATTTAAACTCTTTCTTCAAATAATTAAGAATAATTGGTATTCAATCGCATTTCTATCAATTCATCTCATTTTTTTAATAATCTTAAATTAAACTCTTGTGTATTCGATCGGCTAATTAAATTTTCACATCACAAATCTTATGAAGAATTGCAATTTAGAAAGTTTTCTCTTTAGATGATTACTTGTTTTTTGACACTAATCGTCTTTTGGATTGATACGCTGTCATTGGCGATCGCTACATTAGTAATGAATATACTCTTACAAGGATTGTATAGTTGGGAATTCATAAAGAAATTACCTCCTGGCAGCGGTGGTGTACCAAAAATAGGTACAATTATTATATTAAAGATTTTTATTTGCCTAACAAATTAAATAATTTAATTAGTTTAATTCAGACAAACATAAAGACATTTAATAGTATTTCTCTCAAATAAATTATTTGTATTTTAATTGGACAAATGTGTTAATTCAAATTATTTCTAATTTTAAAGTTTTTAATGAAAAATTTTTTTTCAGTGTCATTTTATGGTATGAATCTATCGTTGACAGGAATAACATTCATTCTACATGTTATTATAATTTATTTGATTCATATTCTACCGGCAAATTTGGAACTACCATTTCAGGTTAGATTTTTCTATTTATTTTAGAAAAAGGAAAATTTCCGAAAATTTATGCAAAATTAGAGAAACAAAATTTTGACTAATATAAACTAAAATCTCTTTTGTTAGAAATTTTTAATATTTTAACTAAATTTTTTTGTTCAGAAATATTAAATCAATTATAAAGTTTTTGATTTTTTTTTCACCTAATTAATTGCACAATATTTAATTTTACTTATTGGAAATTCTCTGTTTTTAATACTTCAGTTAACTGATATAACAGAACGATTGAAGCAAATGAGACCATTCAAAGTTAAGGGATTCTCATTCGATCCTCAAAAATAAGTTTCATTTTCTTACGAATATTTTCACAAATGTTATTAACTATTTGTTTTGTTTTTATGAATTTTGTTTATTATGCTTAGCATAATAAACAAAATTACTTAGCATAGTATTTATTATCTTTAATAAGTTTGTTAAATAATTCAATGATACACATATGTATAAATAATATCAAAAGCTTTCAAATACTTCGATCAAAGATTACAGTTATTAAATTTTGAAACAATATAAAATTTGAAATATAAAATACGGAAAATATTCGAATTTGGTGATTTGTTAATTAGTTAAGAGATTGGAATGTGGTAACATTCACTAGGATTAACTTTGTCAGAATGAATATTTGGCTAAGAATATTTGGCTAGATCGGAAAATTTTTTCTTTTTGTCTGAATTCCTTGATATCAATCTGCTTAATTAATATTTTATGAAATAAAAGAAATATAATCGAACTTGATAGCAGTATTGCTAAAATTATAACTAATAATAGAAAATTGATGATGGTAATAGTAATAGATTTGAATTTCATTCAATATAATTGAGAATAATAAAATCAATTAATCAATATAATATTAGTTAGGAGATTGCAATTAAGTTCATTTTAACGTTAATCAAAAATTGATTCATACATCTTTCATTTGCTGAATTTCATATAATCCGCAAGAGTATCTGCATATATATATATAACTTCTAATTTAAGCTTTTGGCCGGTGATTATCAAGATGAAGAATGTCATCAGCAAGACTATCAAAAACAGCAACAATGCGATAATATTATGGTGATGGATCAAAATCCCACGTTTCCTTCTACTACTGCAACCAGCGTGGAATTACAACTGAATCCTGCAGTTAATGATGGCGAAAATATAGCATTAACTGATAACTCTAATTTATCACGTATCATTTTATTAAAATATTATGAATTGATAAGCTTGATAAATGCAAAGAGAGAATTCAAAAATAATGCAAAATACTTAAGACAAGAAAGTTATTTCAATTTTTATGAATATATACATAAATAATAAAAGTGAGGCTCTAGGACTAAACTTGAAATAGTTTGAAATAATCACAAAAAGTGATTTAAATCTAACAGTAAAATTTGTTATTAATATATAGACTTGATTTGTAGTCGATACTTATCAAAGTTACATGATGTATTCTTATATTTTAAATTGTTCAAATTTTCATCTTTTTAAAGAAAATGTTAGAACAAGAAACAATGAGAGATAAAAAGAACTTGTGACAATTTTCGATAATTTAAGTAGTAAATACTAAATTAATTGGAGATGTTTTAAGTTTCATTCCTGTTGCAAAAACTGTTGCACTTTACTGAAGTATTTTTACGTTTTTATGCGATCATTTATTTCTAGTTAGTTATTATGTTACTTAAATCTTCCAATAAAAAATATTTTAGAATTTAAGTATTTTATCAAAATTACAAACAACTGAACAGAGGCATTAAAATCGGAGTGAAGAAAAGAGGTAAAGAAAATTAGATGCGCTTCATTTCACGTACATTAGATACGCTTCATTTCACGTACATTAGATTTCACGTACATTAGATACGCTTCATTTCACGTACATTAG